AAATATACATGTGCCACATAATACATATACCGTGTGCGTGTCGTTGGAACAGCTGTAAGCATGATATCTGGAAAGCTAAGAATAATCAGCTGAACCTTTTTAATTATCTATGAGCAACAGCAGGTTTCATGAACAGTGCAAGCGTAGAGACATTGCAGCTGACAAGCACACAGCGAGCGAAGGTCACAAAACTGCCCGCACCAACCGACAGTCGCTTCCTGCAAATACCAAACCTTAAGGCCCAACCACGTGCCCCCGCAATTTTTGAGCGACTACGACAGGATTTGCTGTGGCAGGTTTCTGGATATCCAGGAAAACAAAAAAATTACTTGTCGCCCAGAAAAGATCGTGACTATTTCCGCAACATGGTACCACCCCCGATTCTCGCTTCGTTTGCAATTCGTTCTTGCTTCTTTTCCGCGTGTACTTCACCAAGATATAGGCTATCTTTTCTGTAGTAACTTCTCATGTGTACAGAAAGGCGGCGGCCGTAATTTGTTATTACAGTTAAACCTCGTTATAACAAAATTGGAGGGCCGCTGCTATTTGCTCGTTATAACCAATGTTTCGTTATAGCTGTAGCGGGCATTTACCGCAAATATTATGCACTGTACTTACCCCTCAAAAATAGCGGGCGAAGTAGCATCCCGCCGCACGGTGATATGTAACAAAATAACTGCATTCCCAAATAAAAAGGAAAAAGTCATGCACCTGTTTTAATGCACTTCAAAATACACAGTTTGCATTTCAGGCAGACTTAGCTGCAAAGAAGTCCGTAATTGGACGTTGATGCATCTTCCTGATGCGAACGCTGGCTCGCTCAGCTGCGGCTGCAATGTTCAAGCCATCTTCGCCGCCCTCGTGAGCGCCGAAGTAGCGGCGCAGTACGTCCATTGCGGCTAATGCCTCCGACGCCGTCGGCACGTTTGTCTCCTGTTCGTCGACAGAGTCATCGTCACTGGTTCCGTTACGATCACTGACAGCGCGCACAATATCGTCATCCAGGAGCTGCTCCATTGCCACCACTTCCGAGTCCGCACTCGCATAGTCGCAAAACGACTCGCTGTCAGGCACGACACTGGCGTCACGAAGTGCCGTCCATGATGCAGAGACTTCGTCTGATGTGGCAAAACCGTCCGGCACAGTGGGCTCATCTGATGGCTCATCGCTGGTGTCTGGTGCGGCGGCGAATGAGGCGTGTCAAAAGCAGTTTGCGATCGTGGTCGCCGTCACACTCATCCCCGCCGCCTGAAGCATCGGTGTCTCGCTTCATCCTCATGTTGAGCAGGGGCTTGTCTATCACACGCTTGCGGTAACCTGCCTTTAGCGACATAATCACGCCTTGGTCAAGCGGCTGTATTTTTGCTGTGCAGTTGGCAGGAAGGAACAGCAGCGGTATGGTGGGCGGTGCAGTTATCTAAAACAAGGCACACCTTGCGGTTCGCCTTTGCCAGCTTCTCGTCCCATTCGCAAAGCCATTTTGAAAAAATCTCCCTGGTCATCCAGGCTTTGCGATTGGCTACGTACTTGACTGGGAGCTGCCTCTTCCCCTTAAAGCAGCGAGGGGATACACTTTTGCCAATTGCGAAAATTGGCAGCTTCTCAGAGCCGGTCATGTTTGCACAAAGTAGCGCAGTGATCCGCAGCTTACTTTGTTTGCCGCCATGGCACGGCTCGCCTTTGAGGGCTAACGTCTTGTGCGGCAACATCTTGAAAAAGAGAGCGGTTTCGTCCACGTTAAAAATATCCTCTGCGCTGTTATTTTTCTAGCAGCCGCACGATATTTTCTTTCGCCCACTTGGTAGCGTCTGCTTTGTCGACAGATTGCGGTTCGCCGCAGACCACTCTCCCGACAATGTCGTGGCGCTCCTTGAAGCGTTGGAGCCAATCCGAACTTGCTACGAAGTTGTCATAGCCCATGATGCAGGCAAAGTCTCTCGCTTTTCTTTGCAGCAAGGCGCCGCTCACCGGCAGATTCCCGGCCCGCGTGTCCAAGAACCATTTAATAACGGCCCTTCCGACTGCTTCAAAGGCAGGTGCCCTCATCCTTTTAGCGCTTCCTTTCACGCCACGTGCAACAGCGTCGATGATGGACTCCTGCTTGCTCAAGATTGTTGACAGTGTGCTCGTCGATACGCCAAAGTCTCTTGCCACGTTGCCTTTCTTGATCCCCGATTCGACGGCTCTTATCATAGCCGCCTTCTGATCTAGCGTTATGCGCTTTCGCTTCCCGCCTGGCGCATTCATGTTGCTGGAATCACGAGCACAGCACGATAAAAGATAAGGCGGAAGCGGTCGAGAAAGAGAAGAAACACGCACGTAAAAGCAACGCGGCTCACGTGGGCGAGCGACAACACTTGCAGAGAAAGTGACTGTGAAAAGAAAGGGGCAGAAGGGGCGCTATTTTGCGCTGCCCTCTAGGAACCGGTTACTCAAGAGGAAGGGGGTATTTAAGATTAGGAAGCGCGCCTCAGCGCCATAAGAAAGGGAAGAGAGAGAATATAAAGACACACAAAAAAAGAAAAGGGCGAGACTTTCGCGGAGCTGCGGAGCGCTCTGCTGTCGGTGGTAGCCAAGCGGCACACGTGCAGCGACCTCTCCTCCAGAAACAGCGCGTGCCGTCTGTTTCGCGCGCGTTGCTGGAGGGTGCGTAGCGGGAGTTTTGAACTGCTAAATACAGTTCTCGCGTTGCGCGCCGTCTCAAATTCGCGTTGTACACTGTCGTGACATCGGTTCAAAATTTTACTTCCTAACAAAATTTTTTCGTTATATCCCATAACAGGCAAATTTTGCCTCGTTAAAACGAGGTTTTGAATACATTGGTTAGTATGGGGACTTTCAAGGGGAATTAGGATTTGCTCGTTGTATCTATTATTTCGTTATAGCCTGTCTCGTTATAACGAGGTTTAACTGTAATCATGTTATCGGCGGTTTATTTTGATGCTTTGGTGGTAGCTTGCTGAAATGTTGGTTACTTGCTACGATGTCGACCGCATCGTCGTGGTCGTTGTGCGAGGTTGCCGTGAAGTTGGCGAAATGCGTCGTAGCGCATACTCCTGGGCGCCCCTCAAAATCACAGCAGATACCACTCTTGCAGTTAAACTATTGCGAGAAAAAATAGACATGAAACAGATTTATGGCATGCGCAGGAACAACCTGCAACAGCTATCGCCATCAACTACCGAAGATGAATGATGTGCAACAAAGAAGCCGTTTCCGAAGAGAGTACGCTTATTTCAATTGGGAAAGGCTAAGCGACCCAACTTTTTTTTTTGCATTACCGCATCTTTTTCTCATCTCGAAAAAGTTTTCATAAATTTTGCCCCGCCATAAAAAATCACTTTACGCTGATTTTTCGACAAACAAAGTCTGTTCATTACGCGAGTAAATATGTTATTCTGGCAAGAATTTCTGAAAAAAAGTTCAATATGACCAACTGCCATGTCTACACTGAACCTTCTGTGCATGGCTTTGCAGAGGAAGGTTCGGTCCTCCCATCATCAAATCAAGTGGTGTCCAACTACTTGTATAAATCTTGGCCAGAAACGAAAATTATCCTCTTCATATATTTCATAATCAGGCACATACTGGTGCCGAAGTGCCAGGAATATCCCTACGCCATAGATTTGCTCTAGCTGTGCTAATATCAACATTCATGCAACATCTTCCCAGTTTTACCTTTTTAAACCACAATTTTGTCATTACCTGTGCACTTCACTGCAAACAGTGAAGCTATGTGGCAATTGCCTTATGTGATGGGTTCTCAAACTGGGTTCCACGGAACCCAAGGAATGAACTGCATTTTAGGGTTTTGCAAATGGTCAGAACAAATGCAACCTGCTCCTGTTTTACCCCCTTTAGCACCTCATTTATTGAACTAGAAAAGAAAATTTGCATTGAATTCTGCATTTCCTGAAGCTATCGCACATCGCACCCAAACAGCGACTGTCTGCAGGCAACAAGAGGCCCATGTGGGTAGCAGCACTTAAGACTCATAAATAATCTAGTGCGTGTTGTGAGACTGGTGAATTTTGAGAACCAGCGGAGATAGAGCGTGCATAGCGCTGATAATTATTGCTCATAAGTGTCCTTTGTAACTCTTGGAAGGTGACATTGGGTGTTCAAACCAGTTCAAATTAGTACATTAACGGGCCCTCCGCACTTTATTTGTGGCGTATGACCTGGTACAGTTTTTATGCACGGTGATTTGCCACTGCACTATGTCAGTTTTGTAATCAAAATGTGCAACGAGTGCTTCGATACATGCAGGGGGCACCCCCTTTTGCCAGCTGCACACTACGAGAGTATTAGGGCTTAGCCTTACAACCGGTGCTTCAGTCGACAACCATTTCACAGTGCGACTGGCAAGTCTCCATGTCTGTTTCTGCCAAAGAATAAAATGGGCTTCAATACATCTCGGAGCTTGTTCCTGGCATATGACTAACTGATAAATTAATTTCTGTTTGCTATTAGAGTGCCATGAACTTAATTTACAAGAAAGAGAACATGCCACAAACGTGTAGTTGTGCCTAATTTGCAATAATGGGTCCAGAGGTGGCTTCCTCGAGTTCTGCCCGCGCAGTGTGATGGGATTTTCATTCACTCTAGCGCTCTCCCACTAATTCAAACTTCGCTTAACTTAATGAATTTTATAGTCCCTTCAAGTTGGAATTAACGAGCTTTTACTGTATTTAGCAAAGCGCTAGCTTTCTTAAATTGCCTCGTTTCAACCTGTGCGCTAATAAAGCCGTCTGTTCTTAAACAGAACCTGAATGGGCCAGGAAAATATGTTCCATTTAACAGGTGTTCAATTTGCTAAGACCTTAACAGAAATGCAGAATTTAGGTGCGAAACCTACCATAGTACAGGAAGTTGTTTTGTATAAGCTGCGATATTGTCAAAAGAGTTGACTGAGTGTCTGCTGTATTTAAACTAGTAGATCTATGGATATCCATAGATGTCTATCATGAGAAAACAAAAACAATAAAATACATGCTCACATAAGCAGCAGTTTGCTCTTCTAGAGCCACAATCTTCTTGGCCTTGGCTAGGAGACGACGGTTCCGCTCCATGTGCACATCTCTCCGGTGCCGCTCATAGAGCAGCACGGTATACAACAGGCAAACTTGTCCTTTCAAACACTCCACTTCTTCAGATTTATCTTCACTGATTCCTATCAAGGAAAGAACAAAAAAGTATTCAGCGCCTTTTCTTCCAAACAGAGATTCTGGTTTCACACAGCTCCAGTTTGGGGTAAAATATATTTACCTTCCTGTTCATCACAATTGGGGGCGAGGACATACCATGGCACCATGTGCTGGAATCCCTCTATGAGGTATAAAACCTCTATGAGGTATAAATCCCTCTATGAGGTATAAAGGGTTTTTTATATATATATATATACAGTTGAGTCCACATATAACGACCACACCTAAAACGAACTTTCGCTTAAAGCGAACAATACTTGCGTGACCGTGAAAATATACATTGGTTCAATAGCACAAAATCGCACTTACAACGAACGTCTCCGAGCGCCGCTGATCGGTTACAGCGAACAGAGTCAGCGGTCTGCCAACTTCCCGGGAAACCAATTTCGACCACCGATCAGGCATCAGCGAGGTGCCCCTACATTCTTATTGTTAAACGCCGACCTTGCCTCCGCGACCCTCTTGTTGCCGCTCTCCCCAACTCATGGAGGAAGGAAAGCTGTTTCCTTCCTCCATGCCCCAACTGCTTTTGGTTAAGCACCCTTCTGTTCTTTGTCCCCCCCCCCCCGCTACTCTGAGCGAGCACCCCTCATCGCCAGACGAGGCCCATGTTTTCACACTGCCACCGATCTTTCGAAGACCGGTCGGCCATCTACCCTGTTTTTTATCGCTGGTACTGTCGTTGGCATCGCCGGCCTGGAGTAACCAGACCAACTGCCAACATCCTCGGCCACCGACTGTATCCGATAATCAGCGTCTAGTGCACACGCGTACGCTACCCCACTGACTCTGATAATTTGCGATTTGTTTCGTGTTTAGGACTTCTTCTTCCTCACTTCACACTCCGCTCAGCATGCTTTCCGCGCGCGCGCGGAAGCACGAAAACGGCTGTTGGCCGCGGAACGAATCCCAACATATCGAAGTTCGTGAGGCCACGCGAACCCGCCAGCGCAACAAAATTTTTTGATCACGACCGCCGATTCTTCGAACATCGCCACGCGCATCGATCCAGGCGCCCATGCTTTGACTTCTGTGCTCAGGCACTCTTTCCAAGTTTTTCTACATGCGAGTTTCGCGGACCTTTCAAGCAAGCTACCCAACCTGCCTCCTTCTCATGTGTTTTGGTTTTCAAGGTCGCCCTCCCCCCGCATCCTCTTTCTCTTTATCGCAATTCTTTGCCCTTCTCTCACAAGTCTGCTCTTCTCTCTTGATAACAACAGCTTCGCCCGTCTCCATTGCTCAGCGACGCCCGCCATGCTGGCTCAAATTAGTTTCAATTTCTGACTGGAAATGGGCCCAGAGCTGTTCCACGCGTTCTGGCATACGTGCCGCGTGTGCGCGTCTTGCTCGCTCTTGGTGTGTGTTTGTGGTCATGATGGCTGACGGGAGGACTAGCACGCTTTTTCCTGTCGCTCGACAAAATGTCGAAAGTGTGACCGCTTAGCTTGAGTGTAATCTCCGCGCGTTAGGTGCCGCGTTGCGGAGCGCTTGCTCAAAGCTGTTGACCACCTGGCAGACAACTTGCCGCTTCGGGCGTCCCGGTATTCAGTTGTGGAGATGGTGAATATTTCATGGGTAGTAGTGACGGTTACATGCGCCCGAAACTGGTTTCGCGAGGCCGACTTCGTGGACATCGGGCCCGATCCAAGCCTTAAGCTTTCGAACAGGACCACTGCGGCAGCGATTTGTGGCAGCGCGTCATCGACTCCGACCTGGGAGAGCGGGTGGGACATCTGTTGCGATGGTTTAATTACGGCCAATGATGATGTCGACACAGCGGAACCGTGCACGAATCGGGGCATTGTGAATGAAGTACGAGGCGAGAGCGATTCGGAGGAATCAGATTGCGAGAAGACGAAACTTTGGGACCAGTGCCTCATGCATCTTATGCCACGGGCATCGGCGAACGAGCACCCTGCCGTTTTAAATGAACTCGAGACCGCCCTTATCGCTTCTGTTCTTCGAAACACGTGCATCATGGAATTTCTGGGGCAAAAAAGTTTGTGTTTTCACTCGCAACTTTTTTGAAAGCTGTGTTTAATTTACTACGAACTTCGCAATAAGGCGAACGAATGCCGCGTCACACTCATGTTCGTTATAAGCGGGCTTGACTGTATAACTTTATTTTTCATGCTGGAAGTAGCGAGCCATGAATGCTTCAGCTACCACTCATTAGTATGGCTAAAATACATCACCAAGTGACTCTTAAGGGCCGTCGTTTCTGTGTATTTGCGGCGTTAATTCGCCCACTGCACCCAAAGCTTCTGAATTAACCAGACTAGCGCTGACTGCCAGTTCAAATTATCCGCTCAAACTTACATTGCACAACGCAGTACCGTGAAAATACTTCGAATTAAGCAGGATTTCCAAATAACCAGGATTTCAAAATTACAGTATTACTGTATTTAAAATTTCAACTGCTTCCCTGCTGAGGAGCTCTTTCATACTTCACAGATGCTATCGCTGCCACCTGGTCCACACCACTTTTGTTAATTTGCTATGCTCAAGCCTAGAGAAAGGCCCAGTAAAAAATTTTCCTTCTCAAATATAGACAACTGTATTATATTGCCTGCTTTTTCTTCGATGACAAGCTGCTGAACAAGTGCCTTCACTGTTCGGCTCATACCTTACGGTGACTGTACAGCACTGCAGCTGCGTGCAACATAACTGGCTGACTACCCGCGAGGGTGACACTGTGGGTTTCTCACCACTGCGTTGCGTTTTCTTCTTGGCAACCTGTGCCTGTTGCATGTAGCAGGTGCTGACCAGCTGCAGGTGCTTCTCGAGCAGCTCACTTGGCGACATGTCACCGAGCGCTAAGTTGGAAGCATCTCCAGAGCCCTGCTGGTAAGGCCTGGACAGTGAGTACGAGAGCAGTGAGCGGTAGGTATCCTCGAGAGGAGATTGGGGAACGTCCTTTAGAGAGTGGTACCCTGTTACTGCCGCTGCCACTGTCGCTGAACAAGCCTGGTTGTTGATGGGTGTCACAGGTGCGTGATGAGGGTTGCAAGCATCCACAGAGTCACCCTGCAACAAACGGACAAACAGCTTCATACCATTTTTTTTAAAATCAGTTACTCAGATTATTGATGGTCTTAAAGGGGTAATAAAGCACCCTTCGGGCTTAGTGAGAAAACACATCCTGCAGACACTGCTAGGAACAGCTCAGCCAAATCGGCAAGAAGAGCTTGGAAGCAGAGCGCCAAGTTGCCATTTTCTCAGGTGTCTTCTTTTCATATGGAGGCCTGTGATCACTCTCTACGGAACTTCTAGTGGCTGCTGTTTGGAGTCAAACAGATCATGCTATTGGCAAATATCCGATATAAATCAAAAACGGGCTTGTGATCATATCTAGCCATGGGGCCCACTAGTCTTCCTGTGCCCCACTAGTGCATATAGGAAAGGAAAGAGCGACTGCATTTCATGATGTGCTCTTAAAGTTATGCCATGCGCTCGTCTGGATGAGAGATTAGAGAAGGTGCGTGACGAATCCCTGAAACTATGCCTGTTCTTGAAATTTGAGAAACTTTTGCGGCCATCCGTTTGTGAGGCAACAAACTCAGATACGTTAATGACTTGATGATTACACAGAAAAGTGGTTCAAGCAAGGTTTAGTACCACTTCTGGAATTACAGAAATGTTAGTCCTACGCCATCGATAAGCTATCAGCGAGCTACGAAATATGCAAAATTAAAAGCACACTAAAGGCAACTATTAAGTCAACGCTCATTGTTGAAATAGCGGTCCAGAAACCTCATAGTGTTACTTTTGTGCCAAGGAAGTGCTTATTTTGAAATAAAATTACGTTTTAGTGCTCCGCATCGCGTTCGCGCACTTCAATTTACCTACCTCAAGCAGAACATCTCATGTCACTGTTGCCGTGCACAACGTTGCCCGGCTTTGCTGCGCGGCCGCCAACACTGTATCAGCACAACGAAAGCAGTGGGAGCCACAGCAGCGACAACAGCCTTTGAACAATTTCCCGCCATTGGCTCTGAGATGATTGATTGATTGATATGTGGGGTTTAACGTCGCAAAACCACCATATAATTATGAGAGACGCCGTAGTGGAGGGCTCCAGAAATCTCGACCACCTGGGGTCTTTAATGTGCACCCAAATCTGAGCACACGGGCCTACAACATTTCCGCCTCCATCGGAAATGCAGCCGCCGCAGCCGGGATTCGATCCCACGACCTGCGGGTCAGCAGCCGAGTACCTTAGCCACTAGACCACCGCGGTGGGGCGGCTTTGAGATGGCAGACATGCCCGATTCACCTGGGCCCTGCTAAATGGCATGACCTGTCCAGTTTAACCACTCGAAAATTGAACTTTTGAACCACTTGCACCGTTCCCCATAGTAACGTGAGGTGGTTATTTTTCCATGAAGTGAGCAGAAACGAACAAGCAGCATTTTATAACGTCTCTTGGTGCATGAAGGGTTTTTTTTATTTAGTGCAGCTAGTTCAATGACTAGTGATTAATTGTAGGCTATAACTCTGACATCATTGCAATCATTTTGTGAATGTCCTACTGCGGGGCATGTGTTCTCATGCATTTACCTTAATTTCTCAGTACGTACGACACTGCTGTTGATAATGCTGTCGTTTAAAACATTGTCATACATTGAGCTTTCACTCTCACGTAAATTATTTGACTTTGGCGTCTCTTTAAAAGACAAAGGTTAAAATTCCCACATACGCCAACACTCTCATGTCATGAGAGAGTTGGGAGTGTGTGCACAGGACTACGTTATAATCATTATTCTACATAGGCAAGTGTTGCATTAAAATATATAAGGAACCAGGGGCTCGATATTGTGTGCTCTGAGAGCTTTGGCAGATAAAAATGGCTCAGACCTCTGTAAGTGCTTCGGCAGTAGTGAGATCATTTAATTGTATAAGTACTGCGGTTGAGATGTAAAAGAATATAATTGTGCCTAGGAGAAAAACTTTACCCGATTAAACCAATAAAACGAATACCGTAATTACTTGAATCTAACGCGCACCTTTTTTCCGGTTAAGCGAGTTCATGAACCGCATGCGGTCATTGAATGAATACGGTCATTCTATTGCCATCGACACTTCCAAAATGGCCGCCCCCTACGTGCTTCGGCATGGCGCGTCAGCCATTTCTGCCAATGTGTTTCCCATGTACGGCACTTCGTACGTGTGCTGAGGAGTTCGTCATCTTGTAGTTCATTAGCATCGACCGCATGGAAGGGCCGACTCCAGAAACTCGACGAGTGCACCACGATGCCGCTTTTAAAAGAAAAGTCATCGCATGTGCCGAAACAGACAGAAATTGGGCCGCATCACGGTCGTTAGGAGTTCCCGAAACGTGCGTGTGGGACTGGCGGAAACAAAAGCAGAAGATTGTCAAAGATTCATTCAAAAGCTTCAGTGGACCAGAGCAGGGTCGGTTTCTGCAAATTGAAGAGCTGCTCACCGAGTATGTGCTTAAGCAGCGAGCAGCACAGCGGCCCGTGACGACAGAACTGCTCTAAGTGCGGGCTATGCAGTTAGCTTTAGAAAAAAGGCTAACGCGGAGCCACTTCAAAGCGAGCAGGTGCTGGCTAACTAACTTTATGAAGAGGAAAGGCTTTTCCCTCCGAAAGCGAACGGGCATGCGCCAAAACTTGGCGAAGGAGTACGAAGAAAAGCTTCACAGTTTTCAGAGGTTCGTCCTAAACTTGCGGCATAACAACGGCTACCTGCTTGGGCAAATCGGGAATGCCGATCAGACGCCTCTTTACTACTTCGACATGCCTGGCACCACAACCGTCGAGAAGGGGGCGAAGCAAGTTCGCATGCTGACATCGGGCCACGGTAAAACAAGAGTGACGGCAATGCTCCGTTGCACGTCAGATAGGCACAAGCTTCCCCCCGTACTTCATATTTAAACGGAAGACTCTCCCGGAAGGAGTCGTTTTCCTGAGTAGTGTCATCGTGCAGCCCAACGAGAAAAATGGGTGCGCATTGCAATCGCTGTCTTACTTTTTTTTTTTTCGTTGTGAAAACCGAGTGCGTGTTACAATCGAGGGCGCGGTAGAATCGAGTAAATACGGTATGTGGGGTTTAACGTCCCAAGTCGATTAAACCAGCTTTAGTTCAAAATGTGTAACAAGACTGGACATGAGGTATACCGTATTTACTCGAATAATCCTCGCACTTTTTTTGCCGGAAAACCTATGAAAAGTTGGGGGGTGCGAGAATTACGTTGGGAGAACTTTTCACAAGAACGTACCGAGCGGGAAAAAAAAAAAAAAAAAAAAAAAAACTAAGTGGCCGCAAATCGGGATTCTCACACCAGAAACTAACAGCAAGCTTTAAGAAGTACTAATTAAAACTTAAACAATAAAAGCAGAGGTTCAACACAAGACAAGATTTATTTGAGACACAAAAAGTGGAAGCAAATAGTCGAGAATTAGAATACTATACGCAAAGCTTGCGGACATTGCGGGCGTAGCGGTAGCGTTCGTCGCTCAACAGGAGCCCTCAAAACGTAAGCATGGGACGTCAGTATTGGGCTGATGGCGATTTAACAGAATTGTCCGCAGTTTCCTTCTTAAGAAATAAAGTTTACCATCAATCCCAAGGGCCTACCGGCGGCTCTGTTGCCGTTCTTTAGTGCATTATCTATCACTTGCAACTTAAAAGCAGCCGTACAGCTTCAGTATCACCTCATAACTTGACAAGGTTACCGACGCAACATAAAAATCACGCCGCAATGCGCACTGGCCACTTCGGCTTGGCTTGAATTGGATTGAATCTCCATGCAATAGTACGCTTGATGCTTAAGAGATGGCGCCAGATGGCGTGCGCTATCATCATCAGTGGCTGGAAAAAGCAGACGACATTATTGCAGCAGTTTTCGGGGGTGCGATAATTACTCGAGGAAAAAAAGAAATAGTGTTTTTGTTGGGCGATGTGGGGGGTGCGAGAATTATGCGAGTGCGAGGATTACGCGAGTAAATACGGTACACACTTGTATCTCTGTATTCATAATAATAACAGGGGTGCAACAGCCAGAATAGTCTTTGGAGCAATTTTCAGAGCAGCAAAATGTGTCTTTTGGAGCACCAAAATTCGAATTTGGAGCAGGTTACAGAAAAACCAATTTTTTCCTATCACATAAGACCAAATTTGGAGCAGTATAAAAAAGAAGGCTTACATTTAGAAAGTAAAATACGTAAAAATCATTTAAGATCCCCTAAATCACACACAGTGAATACGAGGCCTGCTATTTCAATAAAGGTAGTATTTTGAACAACCCCACTAGTCAAACAATGATAAAGTTCACATTAGTGTTTGTCATGCCGGTCAAATCCTTTAGCAGACTCTGAAGATTCCATGTGCATCTGAAAAGCAGGCAGACAACCTTAAGGGTGGCGGACAAAAAAAAAAAAAAAAAAGCACACCGTTTTGTTTGATTTTTAGGGCCGCATAGATGTTATACAGAGCTTGAAATGATCGCCAGTAACTCTTTTAGACGTCAGTGATCATACTAGTACTCACAATCATCATGCAGAGTATGCACGCATGAGCAATTGAACAAACTGAGCTACCGTGCGGTGTCCGTGACTAATGCTAGCAGCTCGTTCCAAATCTTAAAATGCTTTTCCGCAGACCACTGGTGTAATGAGACAAAGATGACTTAAGCGGCATTAGGCACGAGTTGAAACAATGGCAAAAAGTTTTCAAACCACTACACCACCCTCCCTCCCCCCTTCACAATGAAGCACAATTTCTCAGCTCGCTTGCAAGCAGAGTTTGACTAGATAAAGTAAGACCAGCACGCCCCCGTTGGCTCGGTGACAGCACCGCATATCTATCGCATACCTGCCAAGTTCAAGGATTCTGCATCCGGGAGATTTCTGCAACGGGGGGGGGGGGGGGGGGGGGGTCACAAAAAAACCAAGGATAAACAAACAAACAAAAAACATCGCAAAACGCGAAAAACAAAAGGGGGTGGGAGGGGGGCCTCAATCACAAGCGCCAACATCAGCGTTGCAGTCTTATAGCAAAATCTATTTCGGTCAAAACAACTCGCGTGTCTTCCTAGGACGCACGTGAATGGACAGGATGGCGCAGATGGCTGCCGCAAAAGCGCGGGTCAAAGCTTTGCTCACTACTAGATTCTTTTCACAGGAACGCCAAAACGCGTCTGGCCCCTTTTTATTGCGATAGCATATATATGGACAGTCCAGGCAGTTTTTTTGCCGTCCCCACCGCCACCATCCTTCACCGTATATGTATACATATCTATATATATGAACACTCATAGATAAAAAAGCCGCCCACGCTCGGTGCTGAGCTCATCGCGATGCGCCGACGCCTGCTTACCTCTCACGTGTACTTTGCCCCATAGATGGGAGGGGGGGTAAATGCCTGTGCGCGCGCACTTATCCTTTAGTGGGGGAATCGTGTGCCTTCGGCTTTCACTGAAAGGAAGGTGTTAGTTGCCAGGCCCGCAAAGGTCACTTGGGACTCGTCACAGGCCCCTTTTGCGAAAACAGCGCGCTTTTCATACAGCGAGGTATAACAACTGGGACACTTGTTCATTTGTACTCATCGGTACCTGTGATTACGTATCGTGCATCGTTTTTGTTTAAACAGCGCGTTACGTGTCGAGCGGTAAACGTTGTTAGTTCGCTCTCGTCCTGCGAGTATCGTTTTTGTGCGTCATTTGTGTGTAAGCAGTGCGCTGCAAGTTTTGATCTGCTTGCTGTTTTCAGCGTTACATTCCAAGTTGTTGCTGTTGCATTGATTGATTCGCACTTGCGGCGAAACTGGAACTTTCAAAATTTTTTACGTATTTGCTGCTTTTAACCTACCGCTGCGTGCCCTCGGAGCTTGTAGATTGCTCTCGCGTTGTCGCGACAGCGGTTGTGTGCGCGGCGGTTGTCGCAAACGACAGTTCATTTTACAATCCCAATGCGCTTGGCTGCGCACGCGCCTTCAAAACGAAGTCGTTTTATGCCATCTACAATAGCATCTGCCGCAGTTTTGTCCACAGAGTTTGCAGAAAACAGCGTTGCTTTGACTGGTTGAGCGCACACTTTCGGGGTTCTGTCAGTTATGTCATCGCCATATATGATCGTGACAATCACATGCACTGTAGAAGACAGTGCATGCGCTGGTCGCACGCGTACTTCCGAAGCTTTGAGTATGCTGCTCTCGGCCTTCGTTCTACAGATTCCGTACTAAAGTTCGTATCACTCGCCGCAATTAGGAAATGTGTTCGGAACATTCGAATTGAGGCCCATAGAACATAGTAAAATTTGGCTGGGGAATTTCAAGAATTCGTATCTGCTGCGGTTTCACATAACTGAGATTATACTGTACGCTTAGATGAACACCTCTTAAACTCATTTATAATAAAATGGGGTAGGTTCGAAAAGCCTGGAGCGGATTGAACTGCTTTTTTGTCAATGTGGCCCAGATCACGCACAGAAACTTCGATTTACGGGATATATTCATGACAACCGTACAACCGGAAAGAATGGGTCAAAATCCGGGAGACTTGGCAGGCATGCTATCATATGTGTCGTTGCTATGGCAAGTTTGTCGAGTTTGTTCGCGTTTATCACATGTAGAGTTTGTTTGCACGCAGTAACAGTGGCATACACTTCCAGCTTTAGTTCCTAACATGCCATAACAGCGTTTGCTGACTAGGAAATTCATATTTCCCATTAAGTGTTGCTGGCAATGACAGCCCATTTTTGTCTTGAAGCTGCGTCGTATCCGTTGTGGTCAGCAGACCGATGGGCCCTCAGCGTCATTACTTCATCTGGTCGATCGCATTTCGTAAGCGTCCTGCCATGGTTTAGAGTAAGGGTTTGCGTGCCTGGAACCCTGTGAGGACGCGAACTACAAGTGGTCAACGTGGCCTTCATTTGTTTCCAAAGTTAATGCAAATAAAAAAATTTTGAGGCTGGTTTCGCATTTCGGTGCAGCGTGGCGCGATTCCGGCAAATTTCATGGTTTCGGTGCAGCAATGGGGAATTGTATTAAATTGGCGCAAGTGGCGCAGCTGTTGCACACCTGTAATAATGACACACTTTTGCTGTATACCACAAATACGTTTCTTCCTTGATAGTAACTTGTTCGTAACTTGCGTAACTTGCGAGTGTATGTCTATTTGTTTCCTTTTCTCCCCTTTGTCGAGTCTTCCCCTGCAGTTTGCACCAATCGGGCCATAGAAACGTTCCAATTAACATCTTATATTAACTTATTAGTGTTTAGCAGCAATGGCAAGCATAGCGACGGCACGCCCCACAGTGGTTTCTCACGACTGCTATACCTGGTTGGACCTGTCAGCTGGCCTCCGAGGTTGCACAAATGGCCCCTGAAGCCTGGGGCACGAGTGGCTCCGCTCCAGAGTGGAACGAGACCTGCCCCTGCTGCTGCCACTGCAGCACTGCACCGGACACTGGGTGAAGTACCTCAGCCGATCCATGCTGTGTGCCATCTGTTGCTGCTCTTGGTATTCCGGAAGCTCTGACACTGAATTCTGAGGCTCTGTAGTCAGGTTGTTGGTAGTTGAAAAGAAAGGTGTCTCACAACCCACGGCGGCGACGGCACCACCACCACTGGCCCCCGGCACAGGAATAGACTTCTCTGCCATGGCTGGAACTTGCGCTGAAAGTGGTTCCAGCAATCAAGCACTTTCAAAATTCTGTAAATGCACTTATGTTCGCCAATTCCAGAGGAGAATGGCACTGTTAAGGCTCATTCTCACCAGTTACTAGCACCGGCCATGTCACATATGTTACTGGTGATTAAAAAGTGATCTACAGCAAACTATGGTGATCTACGCGACCAATGTTCACACCTGTGTCATCACAGAGAATTCACGCTTGCTTACATTGCCATTGCTTCATAAAAAAAATGCTAATGCCCTGTTCCTGCACATCTGATAGGTTTAAAAGCGAGCGACTAAGCCAAAGCAGACATCTGCACTAGTCAAGACTAATTGTACGTGTGACCAGTGTAGTCACAGGTGTAAATGAACCTTTACTAAAGACACCCATGATTATGACAGTCTACTTCATCCAGTGTTTAAATTCATAGCCCACACAAGGACATTCACTGAATGAGACAACAAGCTTTTCTAGTAACTTCTGCCAGAACCTATGGTGCACTACCAAAATTGGAATAGAAGCTCCATAGTAGAACTCCCATGGTTAATTTTAGAACTCAAACATGTACACATGGCCGTACATGTCATATACTTTGACTACCTGAAATAGAAGTGTTAATTATCAGAATAAAGATATAGCCAATACTTAAAATATATATATATATATATATATATATATATATATATATATATATATATATATATATATATATATATATATATATATATATATATATACAGACTACCCAAGCATGCAATAAAAACTAAGCCTATACTGACAACAAAAATACGTACAAACTACAAACAAGTAATTTTATACCTAAGCTGCAGGGTAAAAGAAAGCCTTGATAAAACAAAGCTAGGCTCATATAAATGCTAATACTTCAGTTCAAGGCAAAGTGATTATAATCAGTCTGGAATATATATCGAAATGAACAGTTTTAAAAGTGAGATCAGCATAAAACTTTGACAATAGTACAATATGTTGCCAAAGACAATAAAAGCTGATGCTAAGTAGGGGGGGGGAGTCTCGAACTGACAAGACTGTTGTGCATTCACCTATCATGCAACATGGTGATGAAAGTGCCAAATTAAGGGGGTCGTGAAAAGAAAATGAAGCTGCCCTATTGTAATTATTAATGTTTCAACAATCATTGGGCATGCTGATTTTTAAGTACATTGTGGAAAATAAAACCTACATTTAATAACACGTTTAAGATCCTAGAATTATTATAATCTTAAAACTAAAATCCATCACTGCCGGACACCGTAGGCACTAGCAAGGCAACGTCATTTAAAAAGACTTGAAACTCTTGAACATATCATTACCATTTGCTTGCTCTAAAATAATACTTTTATATAAAAGCTAGGAAGTAATAAAATATTACAGAAATTTTTTAGCTCCCAGCAATGCTCCAAGTCCAAAAGCCAAATGCGTTCTAACCCTGGTATAACCCTGGCAAAGGAAGAAAATGGAAGGTGTCTGGACAGTGCCTGCACCAGGTTCTAGCAGTTTCCGTTGAAATGGGGTGCTTGTCTGGGCTTTTCCGGCTCAGTGCGATACATGTGCGTGCACGCAGTGAAGGCTCGTTTTGCTAATTTGCAGAGCAATCAAATCGTTTTTGCATGCATTAGCTTCAAATGGTTGGCACGGTTTGTGCATGTGACATTTTTACGACATCATAGTTGAAACGGTATGATGTTTCGCACCTCGATCAACAATGGCTCAGCAGGCCTCACTGTGTCGCCGTGTTGTGCCGACAACACAGACTTTTGATTGGCCTACTGAAGATGATGTGAGCTGTAGAGTTGAGGAGAATGCAACCTGGAGAATTTAAATTGTGCTTTTATAGCTATAATATGAACCTGGATGATGAAACGAGTCGAGGAATAGTAGTACTGAATGAATGGCCAGGATTCCGAACGTAGTTGAAAATTTTCAGAAAATCTTGCATGACTTGCACAACACAGTCAAATTATGCACTATGCCTTCAGTCTACATGCAAACAAAACCCAACCTGCCCTGTAAGAACATTGACAAACTTGGTAGGCTAGCTTACAGTTCAAGCCATGCATGATCTTGAACTCAATTACTGAAGAGTGGCAAACATCCTTCAACAATTACAGTCCATGATGACATCTACCTCGTCTGCTAGGCCTCATCAGTGCTGCTTCATCGAGTTTGCACCATAAAAGCAATAGTTCGTAAGAAGAGAATCTGTCACAGCCCCCCAGATGTCAGTAAGCTGAAAAAGGATGCAAAAGAATGTAACACTTTGGCACAATTCGCACAGCTGTAACCCTGTATCATCCCTGAAATTGGCCGAATGGTGCTCTCTTCAGAGCTACTATATTCAACGCAGTTGTGTGTAGATACAGCAAAAATATGAAGAACAACGCAGGCTATGAGAAGTTAAATTGCACAGTCATTTCACACAAGGTTACCTTTCATCCCCCAGCCCCCCATATTTTTCCCCACATTTTCTTTTACGGTAAGTTGTAGTTGGTATGAATTGAACAAAATAAAAAATTGCACATATTAAAATACAACACACTTTGCGTGTGTCTTTCACTCTAATACTTTACAAGAATGAAAGAGAAGTGCGAGTAGCAAGCAATTTAGCCCCCTGAGGCGTGCCTTCATGGCAGTGCACATTCCACCTGAGAAGATCACTTCTTGGCAGCACATTTCTTTTTGCAATGAAACCACCTTCCCAGCCAGCTTGTACATTGCAAAATGTGTAGTGTTTGCCTTTCATGTCGTATTATTCCATGAAATATTTGAAAAGACCCAATATTTGTGCACATCATCAACTACACCTTTGTTAGCTCTTTCATTATCGTGAGAAAATGGTTGTACTTTAAAGGTATCAGAAAACACTTTTTTTCCATGACAAGTACATATAGTTAGATGTTAATAAGAAATCGAATTTAGTTACTTGGGCAAGCATCACAACAAACAGTTCTTAGAGTGAGAAATTCTGTTTCTAAAGATGGCAGCTGCAGTGTAAAATTTTATAATCTAGCATACAAAAATTTTAAAAAGTGCCATTTTTTGTGAGCAGCCGTAAAAAAACAAAAATAAGAGAACACAGCTCGACAAACAGTATAAAATTTCAGGACATGCGTTCAAAAGATAACTAACCATAGATCAGCCACTAAAAAAAAAATAAATGCTATACACTCATCCAAAAGGTCTACAAAAAAAGCGATAGGAATACCTAAGTTTGCTAGCACAGACCTTTTTCTTCAGCTAGGACTACACAATATGCTTGAAGAGATTATAAAAGCTCAGTAGATATCCCAGCTTGAAAGGCTCACTAAAACTAAAACGGGAAGAAATATAATGAGTAGATTAGGAATCATGTACCATGCACAACAAGGTGTCAAACATGACATCCCTAATACAATCGGAGCTAAGATCGTCTCTAACCCGATACCGAAAAACATCAACCCCATTATCAACACGGACCACAGAAAACACCGAGCAAAAGCACTGCTCAAAGCACACGGCACGAACAGTAAATCTCTTTGTGTAGATGCTAGCCTATACCCTGAACAAAAAGGTCACACTGCTGTCGTGATTGACACGTCCAGCATTTGTATTAATACGTGCTCTGTCATAACAAACAATATAGAGAAGGCTGAGGAGGTATCCATAGCCATGGCAATCACCTCCAACAAACACTCATTCATATTGAGTGATTCGCAAGTAGCAATAAGAAATTTTACGCAAGGACGGATTTCTCAGCAAGCCCTCAGAATCCTTGTTAATAACCAAGAACTACACAAAGTAGATGAACCCAAATACCTCGTATGCTTCCCGGTGCACACAGAGACTGATACACCCAATCCTAACGAGCTGGCTCATGAGTTGTTGCGAGAATTAACCCACCGCGCAACCCAACGACACCGCTTGGTGATCATCCCTGGCGCCGCCGACGTACCACACAAAGACCGATTTACAAGATACATAGAATACATGCAACACTACAGAGAAGCAAGGCCCATCTTTCCCGCATCTCATCCGAGTATAAACAAGCAAGAAGCATTGGAATACGGACAGCTACAGACAAACTGCTACCCGAACCCTGTGCACCACCACAGGAGCTAGCCACACTTGTACCAGGACAATAAATGTAAGCTATGTGTAACAGAAAAGGCGTCTTACAAACATATATTATGGGAATGCCCCAACTTATCAACAAGTTTTCCTGAGGTCCTCCGGGAGCAGTGGCGGCTTGTGCTGCTCAGCTCGGAGGTTCAAGACTAAAAATGGGCTATCCAGCAGGCCAGGGAGGCTGTACAGAGACAAAGTCTACCGGTACCTCCTTGTGCGGTCTAGCCCGGACCACAAACATGCCGGATATGAAAATAAAGTTTATTCACCTCAGCACACTGCCACTCCTTGGATGTAAAAAATTTTAAAAATCCACAAAGCAAGAACCTCTTGACTACTCATGCCATACAGCGAAGCATTTTTTCTAGGCACTGATGCGAAACATCTTTTTCACTCAGCTTTGTAGTCCTCGTAGCACATTTTGTAGCTTTACCTTAATGGCAACTGCCAACAATGATTCACTTCCTTTTATGGGGCCCTGCAACACTTTATGAGCATGATAAGAAAATGCTGTTGATCGGGAGTAGATGCTCCCGAGAACATGCGAGCTAAATGTTATAGCGCAGAACGCGGCCTGGAATTCACAATAAATTATCAAAGTAAGCTAAAAATTGCTTTCTCTTCCCTCGACAAATGACGGAAGCGCTCAAAAATCACACGTAGATTGCCCAGCTATCAGCCATTGGCTGATTTGAACTTGACGCACTCGGTTGTTACAGAGATTGTTGCGAGAGGCCGTCACTTGTCGATGCGTGCGCACGCGATTGCACTGAGAAAGCCGCGTATTCGAAGAAAAAAAAGTAACGCCATATCCACAAAGTGAATGACGATGAGTGGGCGAAGCTCTGCAGGTAAACCTGGTAAACCATGAATCCTCCGTACATTTTACCGACTCGATTTTATTACAACGCTCCCCCTAGCGTACTTCGCCGCACCAAATCGAACGAATGCCTTCTACCAATGACGTGTGCCATATGTGACATCATTCCTATTTTATAACATCTCGCATCTTTCATCATCAACTACAAGCACCGCCGTCTAGTTTATAACATCTTGTATTTTTCATCATCAGCTACAAGTACCGCCATCGAGTGACCACTGCAAGAATTAAACGAGAGATGGCTACATACAGGGGACGCACAGCCGCCTTAAGGAGCTCCGCCCCTAAAAAAGTGCTCAAGGTCACGAGGGGCACGCGACGCTTTTTGTTTGCCCCTCCCATCCCTCCCTGCTTAACTTCCAGCGCTTTCGTCGGGACGAGAGAAGAGCAAATTCGAATTCAGCGTGTGACAAATTTTTGTAACTCCACTCGTACAGAACGAATTCTTAAAATTTTTGCGGTGTTGAATTTGTGAGGCAATATGCTTTTCCAGTGAATTAATTCCATAGTTACTCAAAAGTATTTCAGGGCCCCTTTAACACAACACTTACTGGATTTCAGAGTGTGGGAAGCTGTCCTCCACTTCCCCCACTCTGCTGTGTCACTTCAGCCAATATGCACCCCACAGCCAAATGTATGGTGTAGATTATGGTACAAGCAAATCAAAGGTGCCCCACGATACTTTCTAAGCATGGTCAGAAAACACTGCCGATCGGTAGTCGAAGCTGCGGGGAACATGCGAGCCAAACGTTAGGGCGCAGCATGCGGCCTGGACTTAACTACCAATCTTCGAAGCCGGCCGGAAATCGTTCCCTCTCCTCCTGACAAACGATGCCATAAACCCGCGTCCATGGCTATTGGCTGATTTGACCATCCTAAGCTACACAGTTACTGAGGCTGCCACGGGATGCCGAGACGTGCCCGTGTGCTTACTTACAGTCACACTGAAAGTCAACCACGCATTCATAAAATAATAATAATAGTCAAATCTCGATAACTCGATCCCGAATGGGTCCAAAAATTTGTTCTAATTAAAAGAAGTTTGAATTAATGAAGATAAATAAACGGAGGGCTCCCCATGCAGTGGCACAAGTGCATTGAGCTAACACAGGAGAAGTTTCAGAAGACTTACATTTATTCAAAAATCACGGGACATCCATCATTATTTGAAGTAATCCGTGATGCACATCTGCACATGTTTGCCTTGCAGCGAGTCAACCAATTTCGCACGCAGCTTGCAAAGCATTTCTACTTTGGCTTCAGCATTCTTGTGGCAAGAGAAGTCGCGTGCGACAATGTCCAGCGCCGACACTCTCTAAAGACAACGACAACGACTGCATCTCCGCTACTATCCTCTGCGCCAAAGGCGCAGTGTGGCCAGCATGTGACGACAAAGGAGGAGCGTCTTTACATGGAGAGAAGCAGATCGGCATTTGAGAGAGAACCAACACTCCACGGCAGCTGCTGCTTTTTTTTTCTTTTTTTTTTTGCTCTCTTCTCGCGCGTCGTTGAAAGAAGAAGGGTTACGTGGCAGGGACGGGTAAGGGGGAAGCGTGGCACCGGCGCGTGAGAGAGAGCAGACACTCTGCGACAGCTTTCATTTTTCCCTCTCTCTCTTCGCGCACGGCTTTGTAAGGAGATGGTTCTTAACATGGCAGGGACGGAAAAGGGAGAAGCATGGCTAAGCTGCGTCACAGATCGACATTCGGGAAAGAGCAAACATTCCCCCGCAACCTTTTCTTTTCGTTTTCTTTCCTTCGCGCACAGAGTTAAAATGTCGGAGGTGCTGCCGCGACATTGGGCGGGATGCTGAGAGCATTTTCAGAGCACAATATGTTCGAATTAACTGTCGCAAGTGCTTGCGCGTTCAAATTACAGGGCATTTTCGCCAATTGGAATACACATAGCTTTCACGGGACCTTATCGTGAGTTCCAATTAACCAGAAGTTCAAATTAAGTGTGTTTGTATAAATGATATTCGACTGTAATAATAATAATAATAACAAAAATGAAAGTGCTCAAGGCCATGATGCACACTGACGAAGGGACGTAACTTCTTGCCCCCTTGTCATCCCACCTCCACTCCTTGTAGCTTTCACCTCGCTTGCTTGTACAAAAAGAGAGAGCACTACTAACGGACGCCAAGTTTCTGTAACTCCACTCGTACACGACAGAGTCTGAAAACATTTGCAGCAGTCAGTTTGCGGGGCAATAAACTGTTTGAATAAAACCATTCGATGATTACGTGGCCAAGTGTTGCAGTGCCCCTTCAAGTGCAGCAGAGTGATATTTCTACAACAACCTTCTGCGAGCTAGGCATCATTTAGGAGTCTCTGACCAAAGTAATTGTCTAGCACAAAGTCCACAAAAACTCTTTGCAGCAGCTTAACAGGGCGTATGAAATTATCACCTGCACCAACCAGAGGGCAGAAGGACACAGGTGACAGCAACACCACAAATGTCCGCAACATTGTTTGCGGTCAATACGTTTGCAACACTGTAAGCATGGATACATCCCAGAAATTGAACGATGCTCAGCGAGGCGTCTAAACATTAAGTTTAATGGTAGCTCTCGTAGAGCCCATAATTCTTGGCTTTTATGGTTTTTTGTTTGTTCTTGATCCAGAATATTTCAAATTAACAAGTCTTTACTGTATGCTCATTAGCTATGTTCCAAAGGATAACAAATGTCTGAAGGTGATAAAAAAAAAAAAGTGAAAAAAATTGATGCCAGTAAGCAGGGAGACAATGAAATGAAGTTCAATGATGCTCCTTGCCTTGTGTACTTTGCGCTTTAATCAATTTTTGACTTCAATCATGCTCCAATCAGCTAACCTTCAACCTAGTTTCAATGAGTATGTTATTGTCATACCATCGGCAGCGTGAGGCAGTGCCTTGCTTCCAAGATCCCTGATAGGTGAATCGTCATTGGCAGCAGCTGCAGCAATTCTAGCCACTTCACTGTTTGGTGCTGTAGTTATCTGCTGCGATGGCTGTAGAGCAATGAATCAGAAGAACAAAAGCAAAAAGTCAGTAGTACTTCGCAAATACACAACAAAGCATGAAACAGCGACAAGCTATAACATATGCAATTAAATACTAATAAAACATGCCAGTGTTACCGTACCTCGGTGCAGCCTGTTTCTTCCGGTGTTGCCTCTATGGCAAGGTCGAGAGGCAAACTAGCTTCAGTGCTCTCAAAGGGTTTTTCTTCAGGGTAAAAAAAAGACAGAGAGAAAGATTAACAGATCAGCTGCTTACTGAACAACTACTAAATTAAACAGTACACAGAAACATGACAAACATAACCTTGAGAATGAGAAACAAAGAGCTACAAGAGAAGCGATTGAAGTCTCCTCTCCACAATTCATTGATATTGATATGTAAGGTTTAACGTCCCAAAACCACCATATAACTACGAGACACCGTAATGGAGGGCTCCAGAATTTCGACCACCTGGTGTTCTGTAACGTCCACCCAAATCTGAGCACACGGGCCTACAGCATTTTCACCTCCATCGGAAATGCAGCCGCCACGGTCGGGATTCAGTCCCGCGACCTGTGGGTCAGCAGCCGAGTACCATAGCCACTAGACCATCGCGGCGGGGCACTCCTTTCCACAATTGAACTACAGCAATTTTTTTTCTAAGACCTTTGAATTACTAGTACATGGCAAAGCAAGCACCCTAGCACTGGCCGATAAAGAAAGCAATAGATTGAGATTACCATGTCTTACTCATGCTAATGGTTTGCTCGTTTTGCCCAGTAATATTACTAGTACAGAGGCATATCACTAGCACACTAGCATACAGTAGACTCTCAGTAAACGAAAATCTGTTAAACGGAACTACTGCTTAAATGGAAATTGCCTCTGCAAGACTTAGTTTCAGGCTTGTATTCTGTACCCATGTTCACCTCTCAGCAAACAGAACTCCTGTTCAATGAAATATATTTTCCCCGATCCCTTCAGGTTCCATTTACTGAGAGTCTACTATATTTAAGTATAGTAGACTCGCAATAATTCAAACTCATATAATTTATATTTTTGTTTAATTCAAACAAAATTCTATTTTTTGGATGGCCCTCTATTCTTTTAATGTATTTGAAAGCCTCTTAATTCAAACTCCATCCTCTGGTTCATTCATACTTTATGTGGTTCTGTACAAGAATATATCTGCTGCTTTCCTTCTACAATTTAAAAATTTGCATCCTTATATAATCCTAAAAGTCTAAAAATGAAAAAGAAGCGCCACAGGCCTTCAAGGAAAAAGGCTTTGCTAGTGAACAAATGTTTGAAACAAAGCACACGCATGGTAAACTGTGATGCTTCTCAACTGGTAAAGAGAGCTCTGTGCTGAATGCACATATAGCGAAAAAGCAGCTGGCAATTCACGATTTATTTAAAAGGTCTCATCAGCAGTGAGTGGCCGATAACCTTGAGTACGTTACATCTCCGTGTTCTGTTCATTGTATGCCGTTAGGGTTAAAAAACGGTTTAAAAATTTTAGATCTGATAAAATCGATGTCTAATTTAATGTGTGGTGTCACTTTACCCACAGTAACATATCTGAAAACTTCTGATAATTCAAACAAAATTCAGAGGTCCCTTCAAGTTTGAATTAACGAGCCTACTGTAGTACTAAATAAGGTGCGTTTACTTAAGGAGTCCAAAAATGTCGCACTATGGGCGCCTCACAAACAATGGCTGCAATGATGTGAACAAATCTTTCTCACTGTTCCTGCCACATCACACTGGGCCCAAAACTGACAAAAACACGACTGAGGTCCGGCAAGGTATGCTATGAACATTCCACTGACTCTCCCGACTTTTCATTTAAATCAGCAACTAAATCAAATGTACTTTTTATCCTGGCAAATTCATGTACACACTAGTAGTTGATGGGTCTGCAGCCACCACTAATAAGGATGTGCAATGTAAAGCTAATAAGAGAGTTGAGGCTTTACTATGTTGGCTTATTAATACAGATTGAGAATTCTGCTATGTTCAGGTCATTTTGGCTAATCCCTCTGTCCATTATATAGAATATATAGGTGCATTTTAAACATGAAAGTGTCAGTCAGCACTGCCAGTAGCCATTACGGCGAATGTGGAACACCCTTTTTGTGCCTGTTGGAATCACGTAGCATGTGATCTTACTCTGAGCTGACGGTTGACCAATAATCCCTCACATACTACATGAAAACAAAGTCTGGCAGAACGACACTCTCACTGACATTAGAGTGCTGATTGCTATAGCGTGGGAACAGAATGACGACAAAGGGACAAGAGAAGACGGGCGCTCGTCTTCTCATGTCCCTTAGTCGTCGTTGTGTTCTGGCGCTCAGGGCCGTAACTAGGGGGGGGGGGGGGGGTCGAGGAGGTTCACACCCCCCCCCCCTCTTCGAAATTTTTCCATGCTTTACCTTTTTGGCCTATACTAAAATACTTAGACGCCTGCAGAGCGACCACCAGCAGCCAATGTTTTTCACAGAGTACAACTTTTCTTGACATTCAAAGTGCTGATGCGGGCTAGTTGGTTTGAGTCACTTGTATTCATATTCGTAGCGCAAAAAAGAACCAGACAGAGACACAAAAGGAACACAGAAGGATGGGCGCTAGCAGCCGTCCTTCTGTGTCTGGTTCTTTTTGCAGTACGGATATTACAAGTTTCCTGACATTGCTTTCCTCTTCTGCCTTTCCTCAAACCTTCCCTTCTACCAAAACATCTGAACCCCCCCCCCCCCCACCCCCACCCTGCTTTCACACACCTCTTTTGTACAGCTTTGCACTTTACTTCTCCCCCACCTCAATTTTTCGAGCCTGTCTCTCTCTCTCTCTCTTTTTTTTTTTTTTCGTTTTTCATCGCTCAGCGGTTAAGATGCTTTCTGTACGGACTGCAAGTGTCAGCTTCGGGTTGTTGAAGCCTGTAGGACACTGAGAAAACATCATGCCCGAAACAGTGACCAGCCCAAGCTGAAAGAAGGAAATACTTTATATGCCATATTCACATTTTCGCTCTCAGGGAACAGCCTCGGAGCTCGTCGGTCCGCCGAATTCCACCCCCTCTCTATTCTACCGGTCCTGCAACATTGGCCGGCGCATAACGAGTCCACCTGTACCTTACAGGTCCATGTCCAGTTGACAACCTAGGGCTTGGAGGTTGAATATTGACACCTGTGAGGACTACTTTTGAGGAACTGGCGGGGTGCTGAGTCGACTTTGCCGCAGCTTGACAGGATAAGGCCAGACTGGGACTGGGGAGAGCACCTGCACGACGTCGGAGAGGCGACAACACAAGCTTGTGCAACGCTATCGCCTCTCCCTTCATTCCGGAATGTTCGCTGAGAAGGGCATGGGGAACGAGACCGCGACAGGAGTCTGGGCAGAAGGTGTTGGTCGGGACCAGCAGGGAGGAGATTCTACGACTCCCAGTATGCTTCATTCTTCGAAGGACGGAGCCATTGTGGCAATATGGCCGGGGTTCGATCCAGCGACTTGCTAGTCAACAGCCGAGTGCCTTAGCCACTAGACCACTGTGGTGGGTGACACCTCAGGGGAGAAGACGCAGATCACAGTATGAACTTTTCACAAACTAAAGTCCTTGCTACCAAAACGAATCACCGTAGACAACTTCTACTAAAAGCCTGGCATATCCAAGCTACTTTGAACAACCTTATCCACTAACACGAAATTCTGCCTCGTCTGTACACACAAAGTATACGTGCCTCTACGCCGCATACAAAGCTAAGGCCCCCAGCACACAGTCCAGCACCAGAGATGTACTCTACTGGTCTTTTACAGGAAAGAAAAAAGGTTTTATTTCAGGAGGGTATCACGGGAGCACAAGGACTAATGTCATAGCCTCAACAATGCATTTTTGGGGGTCACATCTATTAAGGGGATTCTAGTCGCTGTAAGCGGGCAAGAGAATTTTTCTCGTCCGGCAGTCGAGGCAGTTGCAAACGTCTCTTCAGAGCCACTGGCCACTTCTGTGAGCTATAAAGAGTACAAGGTTGATGATGACATGATGGCATCCCACCGCTACCACCAGTTGTAAAGGGCTCGAGGTTGATGGCAGGTACGGCAGGTTTCTTTACGGTAGCTGGCTCCCCGCCGTTATCCGCATAACCAATTTTCTCCAGTGAGGAGACGCGTTCTCGGAAACAGAACGAAAGGTTTACTAACATGATAAGAAAGATGAAACTGTACAGAGATTCAGCAGCGATTCCGCTCAGATTCAGCATTATGTACAACAGAGATTCAGCTCTTTTTTACAGAGATTCAGCTCCGTTTTACAAAAAGTCTTCTGCTTTTATAGCCAGTCGTCTTCTTATAAGGAGGTCCGAAAAAGATGGTGACAACTCTTGCCACAAATCAGGTGATGAAGTCTCAGTGGTCCACCCATCGGGAAGAGTGCAGGAATGCGGCCACTCGTGAGAAGATGAACGTGGGTGAAAATGTCTAATGGTTATCATGAGCGCACCACACAATGACGCACCCGGCCCACGCCTTCAAGGCATCGCAGGGTGAAGAGGTAAGGCCCGGTTGAGGGGGAAAGTTGTGCTCCTTTGGGGAGATGGCCACTGACACGAACGTCAGCAGCAGTCCAAAGCTGCGTTCTGCTACAGTGTTCCGGAACTTTCTCGAACATAGCTGTCCAGGTGCTCGTTCCCGAGGATGGCCACAGCGACGCCTTCCGCGCTTCCGAACTGTCGGCGCTTTTGTAATGACCTCGCGTAGGCGACAACAGTAGAACCGAGAAGTTGACTCCATGAGAATTGGCGCAGTGGCACCGTCTCATGCTGTTCGAACCCGATTCTACAAAGGGTTGTTCACAAAACGTCCGTCGAGTTCCACGTAACCCCACCACAGCAAACTGCCAGGCCCACCTGCAGGACAGCGTTGTGCTTTTTACTTTTGTCCGGGCGCCGATATTGGGGTGGAAGCTTTGTCGCAGACCGGCTCACGCACAATGGCGTCTGCTAAGACGAACTGCCGGGCCAAACGTAACAGTGCGTGCACATGATTGCGGCAGCAAAATGAAAAGACACTCTGCAACAACGAAACAAACAAGACTTGCGTCTTACTTCAAGAAAGTTCTAACTAATGAAGCTGAGGCAAAAGAGCTGCCTCTTTTGGAGGACAAAGCTTCCCCTTCCTCAGCACAGGCGGAAAGCCAAGCGCGTCGGAACTTCTGTAGCGACTCAAGAGTATGCACCGGCCTACGTGAATCACCCGAGAAAGAACACAAGCACGACAGCCACACGTTACTGGCAGATGATGTCGGCTGCCGTGCAACTCCAAGTGACCAATTTTCGACAATCAACGCTGCGCAAAGCGGCAACAAGGTGAGTGGCATGGCACTTACACATTTTGGTTCACCTTCCGTCTTTGCGAAAAGTGCAAACATTTTCGATTTGGGGCTGTTTGTCTCAAAGAGTAAGAATGTAAATGATCCAGCAACGATGGAGAGACTGCTGCTCAATCCGTGGATCCCTCCTGCTAACTATAACTATCCAGCCACTGGGAAAAGAAATCTGACATTCTAACCTCTTTGTGTAGATTGTTACCTATGGCTCATTTATTCAGAGAAGCTTCAGGGAGCCCTATGCAAATACTGCATAGTCTTCACAGGCGAGTGTACAAGAAAGGGAGATCACCAGCGCTTGGGCTCTTGTGACAAAGGAGTTCACCAATTACAAGAAAGCCATGGATGCCTTTACGAGCCATGCATCCAGCAGTTACCACACCATGTCAACAATGCTGTCAGAGAACTTTTTAGCAGTGCGGTCCCGCTCACAGCATGACATCTTCACAAACCTTGACCATGGCCTTAAAAAGCAGGCAGAAGAAAACCGCAAGAACTTGCTGCCAATTATTGAAACAATCATTTTCTGTGGCAGGCAATAAGTGCCGTTTCGCGGCACAGATGACTCTGGTGCTATAAATATTTCTGAAGTGCTACCGTTAAAGAACGATGAAAATTTCCAGGCACTCCTAAGGATGGGGGCAAAATGGGGAGATAATGCCTTGAGAGCTCACATGAAAACATCTCCGGCAAATGCACTCTACACGAGCCCAAAAATTCAAAAATGAATTGATCACCCTCTGTGGTAAAATTATACAAAAAAAGATAGTTGAAAATGTCAACTCAAGTTTGTGTTTTTTAGTCCTAGCTGACGAGGCGAGTGATATATCTCGCGCTGCCAACATTTCCCTATGTGTAAGGTACATCGAACATGACACGTTGGGAGTACCCATACTGAAAGAAGATTTTGTGGACTTCGTTCGCGTGTACGACCTCACTGGCAAAGCTCTGGCGAGCACAATCCTAAACAGCCTTAGGGGTCATGGCTTTGACCTGAATCTACTTTGCGGACAAGGATACGACGGCGCGGCATCGATGAGCGGCCACCTAAACGGTGTCCAGGCCTTCTTTTGCCAAACCCCGCCCAAAGCGTTGTATCTGCATTATAGCGCCCACTCACTAAACCTTGCGCTGCTTCACGCATTAAAACTCCCCAGCGTCCGCAACTGTTTGGGGACTGTATTGGCAACCTCTGCGTTTGTGAGAGCTTCGCCACAGAGGACAAACCAACTGCAAGACAAGGTAGAAGATATAACACAAGAAAAAAGAAAATCAGTTCTCTCCTTTTGTCAGACAAGGTGGGTAAAGAGTCATGATGCCGTTCAGAGTTTTCTTGAGCTGTACGTGCCCATCGTCCAATTTCTCGAACGTTTGGAGGATGAGGCCGTGTCATCTGATACTTCATCAAAAGCGTCTCAGCTGCTCACTGCCATTACCAAGCCAGAGTTTGTTGTTTCACTTCAAATCTGCAGTGACTCCTTTTCTTTGACCCTGCCACTTTGCAAGTTTCTTCAAAAAGTTGACTGCGACTTGTCACAAGCGTGCGATTACGTAGATAATGTTATGGGCGTTATTCCAGAAAAAGGGCGAGTGCCGAAACAGAATTTAATGAGATATTTCAGAAGTCCGTCTGTTTGCTGAATATCACAAATGTTGATATGGTCCTACCATGAATCACTGGAAGGCAGGTGCAAAGAAGCAACGTACCGTCTGCTCCTCCCAAATGTGCAACAGTGAGTTTTTTCCGAACATCCATAGACTGCTTTCCATCCTGGCGGCCCTACCTGTGTCGACATCGACCACGGAATGGACTTTTTCGACACTGAGAAGGCTAAAGAGTTACCTTTGGAATGGTATGAGCAACGAGATATTGACCGGACTAGCGATCCTCAGCATCCATTGACAAATTGACATGACCTCGGAACAAGTTCTCACAGACTTTTGCAAGTTGCCTAGAAGGAAGAACTTTTTCGTTTGAACGTGTCTCAGTGCTTCAAGAGTCTCCTTCATGCGTTTGTACTCATTACATTCCGTTTTCGTACCACAGTTATATTGTGTTATTTTATTAGGAGCCATTGGTGTTCACATGGGTTGGTATAATCAAAAACAGCCTTGCAACACACTTAACCATCTGCCAGAAATATTGTGTCTGCACACCCAAAAAAGTTCCAATAAAACGTAAATGATCTACCACCACCATTTGGCGTTCGCGATAAGTGCATGGATTCATCTGCATAAAAAAAGCAACCAGCACTTCAAAACTGCATTGACAAACACAGTTCGCTGACTGTGGGTAACTATTTCGCTGGCAGCTTCCGGTATATATATGCATGGTGCTTGGCAATGGCATACGTGACAAAGGCGTTATAGTGTTCATCGATGAAACTGTGGTGCCCCCGGCTATGGTGGTGTTATAGTCCAAACCTTCATTTCTTGCGTTGACCACAATTTGAGGTTAACACAGCAATTTTTTATTTTGGTACAACTAATTGAAAGGTACCATCGAAATATTAAATGTAAGTGATGCACTTCATTCATACATAAAAATAATAAATCTTTAAAATTTGTAAAGCTTCTACGCATGGACCCCCCCCCCCCCCCCCCCCCCCCAAAAAAAAAAAAAAATTCCTGGGTACGGCCCTGCTCTCGCTACAACAATCATCATGTCACACCAACTAGCCCAAACCGCCACGCTTCTAAGTTACTTATTAGAGTGCCACTCAGGCAGCGGGTTTTTGGAGAAAAATTTCAGAAAAGCTACCTTGACTCATTTTCCCCACGAATAATTAACCAATTACTATAAAACAGATGAAAGTACAGGTCCAAAGAATGCTTTCACTGTAATCTGATTCAGTAAGTTAAACATGGGAATATTGAATTTTCTAGAAACTTGCAAGTTCGTTGCTAGCAAGGTCTCGACGGGATAAAAAATGAGTGATGAAAAAAAAAAAGAGACCATAACGTGTTAATTAAAAGCAATTAGTGATTAGGGGTGACACCCAAACTTTGCACTCACCATATGACAATGACCTAGAGTATCCTACAGTTCTCCAGGCTGGGGCAAGACCACAAGCCTCCACGGGACTCCAGCAAGGCTTTGAAACTAGTGATGACGCCACAATAGCCTCCCCTGTAGGCAGGCAAAGAGAAGCGGCAGAAGTCGAAATGTTAATGCTGCTCCACTGCCCAGGCAGGTTTCTTCCAAAAAAAGAGAAAAAAGAAAGAAGGGCACTCTAGCCAAAGCACCATTAGGCTGGCCAGACTATGACCTCGAAGGGGCCCTCCAACACTATTCGACCGCCCTTCGCCCCCGTTTTATTCGTGAGTTGTGTAGACTGAAATACAGACAAGACTAACGCATCAAAAACGGCAGTGATAACGGCACACCGTCAAAAGTTATTCGACTTGGAAAATTCAAAATACAAAAAGAAAAAAATGACAACCCTCAACTCAATTCTTGTGGGGAGAGAGAGAAGAAACTTTATTTTTATTCGTTAAAAGGTTTCTGCGCAAGAGGGTGGGATCCTCAGTCCAGGGATCCACTGGCCTTTGCGGACACTTGACCACATTTCACTCGCCTGTGATGTCGGAGGGATGCCCCAATGAAATAAGCTGGAAGTGCCTAAGTAGGAGAAGCTCGCACCACATTGTTACTAGTTTTTTTTTCTTCAAAGTAATGTTGACCTTTTTGCCACAGTATCAAACATGGTGCCCAGTGCCTGGCTTGCCAGAACGTGAGCGGGAGCTACTGTGTCAAAGCGAGGTAGAATCACACCTTATTTTGAAAAAGGAACTTGTGGAATGACCAGGGCGGCAAGGTACTGTTGAGGAACAACAATGGTGCACTGCACCCCTTCAACAGCGCATGTGCGTAAAGAGACAGCTCAAAAATGTTGAAGTTGTCAGGGATGAGCGAGAAGGCACATTAAACACTCCAGCAGCGTCATTCCAGCCTTTGCAAGTGCCTGCAGCACGTTTCGGAGTGTCTCATTGTGCTCTTGGCTGTTGGAACCCCAGATGAGAATGCCGTCCATGTGACAGACAACTCGACTGATGCCTTGTAATATGTATGCCATCTGCTTTTGGAAGTGTTCAGGAGCTGACGCAATGCCAAATGGTAGTCGGTTGAAGTAGAAGTGCGCAAACGGTGAGGTGAAGGTGGTGAGTTTCCTTGATTCTTTACAAAGTGGAATTTGCCAAAATCCAGAGTTGGCATCGAGTTTGGAAAACACCTCAGCTCCATGAAGAAGTCCGAGAGTGTGCTACGGAAGGAATAGGATGCCATTCTCTGAGAACGTGGCGGTTCAGCTCTGTGAAGTCGGCGCTTATTCTCACGTCTCCAGAGGGCTTTGGGACGACAACCATTGGTGCACACCACTCGGTCGGCTCATAAACAGGTAATATGACACCAAGTTCCTGCATCTTTCAAAGTTTCAACTTTGTTTTCTCGTACAATGGGATGTGCCTCGGGGAGCTGAGTGCGAAAGGTTTTTGCTCCAGGTTGAAGCTAAATCGTGTGTTCTTTGAGCAGTTTGCCAAGTCCTTGGAACACCGCTGGAAATTCTTCTATTGGGTTCACTTTGTCGGCAACGGTGTTTACGAAGGTCAGCATCAGTAGCTTTTTGATGACTGGCTTGTCTAGCAACGGAGTGCAGATCTGATCTGGGACGTATATATCCTGAATAGTCGCGTGGTTGCGGTAGATGAGCTAGAGCTGTGCCACTCCTGCTGCTGGAATAAGCTTTCCATCTGGGCCATGCAGCTTACGAGGAGGAGCCGATAGAAGCGGCCTGTGCTTGGCTTCGTCGGCACCAGTGTCAATATTGAAGTCTACAGGCTGGCCTTGAACTAAGACTGTTGCTTCCCAGTTTCCAGTACCCGTCGTCTTGACTGCTTCAAGAAATCCTGCTTCACAAGTTCCGTGCTTGGTTTTGACACAATTGAGGCTTCGCGACATGCATACGGAGGCATAGTGACCTTTTTTTCTAGCAATTCCTGCAGACTTCCGAGCGTGCTGGGCAGAGAGTGCGAGAGTGACGCTCTTGACCATACCAACGGCACGGTTTCTGCTCTCCGTTTTTACTGGCAGGTGAGGGTGGCTTGCTGGCCCGCTGTAGATAACTGCCACTTTTGGCTTGCATTGAAGCAGACTGGTCTGCGCACCAGATGCAACTTTGTTCAAAGATGGCACTTCCTAGTGGAGCTCCACTTATTGCTGATGGACACTTTCGATCTGGCAAATGGAATCTATACCCTTTTGAAGTGTGAGCTCTGCATCGAGCTGTAACCTGGCGGATAGCAGCTTGTCTTTTATCCCAACCACGAGGCTGTCGCGCACGAACTCCTCTCGAAGAACACCGAACTTACAATCTTTCGAAAGCGTGTGAAGGGCAGTGATGAAATCTTCGGTCGACTCACCATATTCCTGCAGCCTGGTGTTGAATTTGGCTCGTTCAAAGATAATGTTGCGTCGCGGAATGAAATACTTGTCGAACTGCTCCCTGACTGCGCCGAGTTTCTTGGAGTTCTCTTCGGATAAAGCAAAGGTGGCGTAGATTTCCTCGGCTTGTTTGCCCATGATGTACAGTAGGGCATCTACTTGATGCTGCTCGGACTTCACGCACAAGATTGAAGAGGTTCGGAATCGTTGAAAACGCTGTTTCCACTTTAGCCACTCGTTCGGCGATGAAAAATGGAAGGCCTACGGCGGTTGAATAATGAATGACGCCATGACCGGTGCTATTTTGCTTGCGGTGTCCTTCGCTAAGATGATGACTAGAAGCCGAAGTCAACTGGTAACACCTGATCTTCTGACACCATGATGAAGTCGTCAAAGACTAGCGAGAAGGCAGGAGGCTGGGTTACGTGGACACAGGTTTATTTTAAAACCGCGTTCTAGCCTAGGGGCCCAGCCACGCGCACCGCCAGAACACGCGGTCACCGGCTTTGCCTGGCTTGTCCTAGATGGCAGCATCTACAACAGCAAACTCCCAAAAGTAAGAAGAGGGAAGAAGGAGAGAAAGAGGTCTTTCGTATGGACATGCGACCCACACAATCCAAAAATCTAGCAGCGAAATGGCAGCCAGTGTCTCTGTCCTGCTTTGTAGTCACAGTGATTTTTGTTTTTGTGGCAGTGTCTGTTCAGGGTTCAATGAAAAAGTTCAAAGAAAAATGAAACAAATTAGTAATCTCAGTTATGATTTTACACCATGGTCACTTCTACATTACATTTATCCAATCATATGGCGGCAACATTTTGGCGCCATTCCCACCCGCAAAGTGCTGGCGAGCGCCACTACGTAGTGATGCAGTCAGCAGCGATGTAGTAACTTCATTGTGTGATTAAAATAATAAATCATTTGATATCAGCACTTATACATACGCTAAAACTTTCTTTACCGAATGGTCTATGCAAACCACAAATAAAAAAATACGGGCTTCAATAGTGTTGGAGGACCCCTTTAACTGAAGAAAACCAAGTCAGCATGTAGCTGCCATGTCAACATGTAGCTGCCAGAAATGCGGCGAAACTAGGCACCAAACGGCAGTATGCACTAACCTCCGAATACCGATTTGCATATCGTGGCAGGATCTGACATTGCCAATAAAAAATAAATGTGATGCCATAGTAAATGTTGTTCAAAGTATCAGCTATGAGGCCCTTCTTTAGCTTTTTACCAAAGCAAAGCAAAAATGTCACTTTTTTTCGGACGACTGTGAGACAGCGCGCAGCGGTGATGCCAAACAGCATCTCAAAATTATGACAAGAAACACTAGACAATGGTTGCTGTATTGGCACAGAGGTTAGACGACTTGTTTGACTTTGTAGCCCATGTATGCATGACTGAAATGAAATCTGCTACTTGATAAAAACTGGTGTTAATTCATTGGAATGTGGCATCTTCTGCTACTATGTGGAGCCTGTCATTTCCAGCAAGGTGCGTGCAATGCATCAGCACTAAGTTCATTCAGGCAGTCACACTGGTGAAGTACAGTAGAATCTCGATGATATGAATTTGAAGGGAGCACGTAAAATATTCGTGTCATCCCGAATTCGTATCAACCAAAAACAACATAAAACTGATATTAAAGATGAACAAGAATTTTATTGGCAACTACTCCTTGTTGAAAAAAAAGTCTACGATGTTCTTTTGAACTTTCCTGCCTTCACCATCTGTTAATTAAGTGCCACAGTTTCCTCACTCATACTGCTGGCGCGGCGCATTCACAGTTGACATCAGAGGGAGCGAAAGCGGCCAAACTCATTGCGAATTCACTCATTTCGCCGCTTAAGCGGCCGAAAACCGTGCCGCAAAGTTGACACGAAAAAAATAAGTCCTGGAGAATTCGCTCTGGAGAATTCAAGCGAAAATGCTAAAGTGGCTGGAAAACCACGTCCGCGCCCGTCAAAAACCTTCACATTAGTTCTGCCCCTCGTATACATGCCACCCCCGCCGCCGTCATTGCCGCTCGAGAATTCATTCCATTTTGCCAGTTTCCTGAGCACTGAAGTTTGTACTGAGTCTTAACTATGCATGCAAGGCATTGAAAAAAAAAAAAAAACAGTTTACACCTTTACTAACGTTATTTCGGAAGACACACCCGCCAACAGAAATGACACGAGCGGACACAGCGGCGGTGGTGAATTTAGCTGGCAGTGCAAAAGCAAGACATGTTGGGGCATGCCGACTCGCTGCTGCTGCACCTTCTTCTACTTCAGGTGTTATCACTGATCGTGATCCAAACCAGGCTCTCGATGAACACGTCCTTGTCAAGGTAGTGAGCTTTGACGTGCCGCGCGCGTAGTCTTGAGAGCGATCCACCGGCGCTGCCTTTGCAGCTATGTTGAACAGCAGCTGGCTGTTTACATCACGTGGTTTGAGACATAGAGCAGCCGGTGGAGTGAGTCAAAGCCGTGAAGCAAAAAGGCGATACGCTATTGCGTGGCGGGAAAATTGGTCTCAGGCCGTTTTGTTCACACCGGCCTCGCAGTGCGTTTTTCCAGCTACCAAAGTGAAGAAAATTCCGGCAAGTTTTGCCGCATTCACTCTTTTTGAAGTAAAGAGTGAACATGCCTTCCTCCCACAGCCAAGCCACGTCACGCCGCGGCGTACAGCAGTCAATCGCACA